TCAGGCTTGGCAAGGCAAATATGGATGTGAAATATAATCAAATAAGGCAGCACCAAGACCAGTGAGGTCATCTTACCCCATACTCCAGGTTTTTAGCTTGCATATTAAATACATTAATCTAGAGGATACACTTTTAGATGATCTCCATCTTAACTTTATTCCTTGCTTCTGGGAGGTATTAAGTATCTTACCTGCTGCATTGTAGGTACCTGGGCTATAAAACAAACAAACAAACAAAACCAACCAAACAAACAAAAAATTAAATAAAAACTCATGAACCTGGAACAGGAAATGAGCTGATATGAACAGAAATGGGAGGGAGACAGGAAAGGGCAGGAGAAAAGAAATAAGACTATATCACATGTTCTTATGGACTTTTCAAAATCCAAAAATAAGTAATAAAACATATAAAATCAGTGAAACTCAATAAAGTATGTAAAAACAGTAAAACGGGGTTGTATTGAGATATATTACATGCACTAAAATCAGTATCCAGCTTTACATCATTTGTACTGATTTCTGAATACTTTCACCACTCTACAAAGAAAACCTGTTGTCATTAGCAGCCATCCCATTAACTTCTTCCCTCTACCCTTACAAACTAATATACTGCCTCTCTGAATTACTTTAAAAGATATATCTATAAAAGAACTCATGATATGTCATCTTTTGGGAATGGATAGTTTGTGAAGCATGCTTTCAGAGTCATTCACCTCGTAGTACTTACTGATTTGTCATTTTTCTTTCTTACAGCCTAATGATATCCCATGGTTGGAACATAACAAGCTCTGTTCCCTATCATTGCATAGGCAGTTTGTAATTTTCTACTTTTGAGGCATTCTGATAAATGTGTTATGTGCTTTTCCAGGCATTGGACTTCTTTTGGATATCTGTCTAGGAATGAATTGTTGAATTATATTTAAACTCAGATGCTCATAGCATTTTATAATACAGCTCCAATATCTTTAGACCTTTACAGAATATGTGTCTTTTCCATGTCAGTGAGTGTGAAGCATCATATTATCAATTTCATGTCCATTTTCCTAATCATTTGCAATTTTTCTATGTTTGTTGGTTATTTTATTATTGTGTGAAGTGATTTATTCAAGGTCTTTTATCCTTTTCAAATGAGAGTTGTCATTATCATTAGGCTGTAAGAGTTTTTTTATGCATTCTGAAAAGACCCTAGTCTAGTATATCAATTACACATATTTTATTTCACTGTGCCAATCATTTCATTTTATGTCAATCGAATTACAAAGGTCTTTGACTTTCATGACCTTGTTTAAATTTTCTGTTTTTCCTCTCTAAAATTTTTGCAATTATACCTGAGAACCAATTGCAGGCCATAGTATCTTTCTTTGATATTTTGTGTTTGCCTCATCTTTGATATAAAAGACATGTCTCATGCTTTGGGCTTTTGAGTTTAGTGTGGACAGGATCTGCTTGGACAAGAATAGTTTATCAGATAGCCTACTCTCTCACTATCAACCTGGATTGTCACTCCTGTCAAAAATCATGTAACTATAAGTGCTAGGGTTTACTTTTGGATTCTCAGGTCTAGCATATTGATCCATGTGTCTGACATTGTTAACTATGTCAGAGCATTTCTGTGACTTTGCAGTAAGCTCTAAAACCCTCAGGCCGAATCCGCTCATTTTATACTCCTACGTTCAAGATTTATCTGTCAGCTTGGTTTCTTCACACTCTCTTCTGAAAATTAAGAGTATCTTAGTAATTTCTGTAAATAATCCAGTAGAATTTAGAGCTATAACTTCTAAAATGATAAAACATAATTCTGAGGAAAAGGGATATATTTCATCTTTCAGTTTCTTAAAGATGTATACTGGGCATGCCTTCCTGTAATGACTTAGGAATTATGTAATAAATTGGATCTGGAATAGATTCAAATGCCAGCTGAGGCAATGCTCGAAAAGACGAATTAACATTTTAGTAATTTCACAGGGTGGGACCGAGGTAAACACAGGAATGGAACTTAGCACAAGCATCTAGGGGAATATCAGTGCATTTGAGAAACTAAGTATTTTCTAGAACTGGGTGGCTCAGTGTTGATGAGGTAGAATCATTGAAAAGGATAAACAATTAGATTATAGATCATCATCACAGACATATTTTCTTGTTCAGAGTTTAAAGAACATTTTATTCTGACAATAGTTCATTGTACGTATCTGAGACATAAATAGCCCATATAGGAATTATGAATCTTGCCTTGAAAAAAGTAGAATGAGGTGAGGTTGGTAGATTGATAATCCTCAACTAGAAAACCAAACACAAAGTATCAAAATACTGTTAAAGAGAAATAGTTAATTTTTCCATTTATTTGTTTTCTCTTTGTCTATTTCTGTCTAACTCTATTTGTGTGTGTGTGTGTGTGTGTGTGTGAGAGAGAGAGAGAGAGAGAGGGGGGGGGGAGAAAGAGAGAGAGAGGGAGGAAGGGAGGGAGGGAGGGAGGTGCTGCATATATGCTATTCATAATAACTTGGATGAGTTGGTTCTTTTCTTTCCCCTGTTGGGTTTTGGGACTTGAACTCAGGTACTCGAGCCTGACAGTAATCATATTTACATAGTAAGCAGTCTTCCAGGCAGTGAGAAAAGTAAATTTTATAACCTTGCATCAGAAACAACAGGCAAAAGTCTCCCTGCTATACTTATTTTGGCAGCTTCACTGACAAAATAGTAGCCAGGCCTGTGGGAAGCTGAGTAGTAGCAATATCTTTCTCCTGCATCCTTCATCTCACAGCTGAAGGTCAGAGAATTCAACAGCCTCAGAGTGTGTGTTCCAAGGATGTTCCACTCAACATCATTTATCCTCCTGCATCCTCACCTCACCTATTTATTGATGCAAATTTTTATGTGACTCCCAGTTTGATTCATGCCACATTAGGCACTGGTAAAAGAATAATAATATGATTCCTGCTTAGAATCTCATTAACGTAGAAGTCTAATGAAAAACCAAAACGAGGTCATTGTAACTCAGTACCGCAATATTTATAGTTAAACTATTTCTGTGTGCCTGTGTAAGTGGAGAGAATGAAACCAAGCTTGAGGGACTAATGGATTTGAATGGACACTTGGCAAGAAGCTAGTGAGAAGGGTTTGTGTGGAAGCTGTTCTCCTAAGAGAGAATGCAGCACACATTAGCATACATGTGAAGGAATGCTGGCATTTTTCAAAACCCACAAATATTCTCTACAGCTGTGTCAGGCTTGATGGTATAGAATGAATGGAAAGTGGTAAACAGTGAGCTCAGGAGGGATTTGGTGTGCCATATGAAGATTAAGACAGAATTTTGTGGAGTTCTACTGAGGAAATTCTACACATCATCATCAGCTTTGTTGAAGGGCCATGCTCTTAGTGGTGTGGAGGACATTTCAGACAGGAGGCCAAAGGCTCATTAGGCTGAGGAAACGGAGACTGTCTTACTGGAATGGAGAGAGCTATGAGGCAGAGCCAGAAAGGAAGCAGTTACAGAAACAGCGGGCAAGGGGATAGTCACAAATGTGAGGGAGAAAAAGGCAGTCAATGATGTCTGCTAATAACATAGGAAGCAGGAACCAAAAACAAAGGCTAGGCCTCTCAGGAGTGGGATGGTACATTATAAAAGATTTGGCTTCAGAAAATTCACTTAGCCTCAACATCAGCTATGAGAAGAAAGTGAACCACTGGAAAAAATCTATCTATATAGTTTGATTTTCTGAGGGAAAGACTACCTGTTTTGCCTTTTACATATGTCCAAAGTGTTTATAAGGAATATTTGATGAGAAAGAGAAAGGAACAATGAGAAGCAGGGATAAAACATATGGGCATGAATACTGCTTCATGTAACTAAGTGCTGTTCCTCAATCTAATAAACATCACTATGCAAAATAGGCCTATGCCACAGAGACAGAAATCTGAACCACTGATAATATATGCAAAAAATTGGTGGTCAATATAGTCAACACCTCCTAAACTTATGAGAAAATGAGGTCATATGTGCCATAAATACATTAGCTTCTGTTGGCTTTCATGAGTAAGCATCATGTGATCATAGACTAATAGGCTTCCCACTTACCCCTCACTCACTGGCAGTAGAGAATGGACTACTACTTTTATAATCACCTTTGACCACCAAAGAGAACATTAAGTATTTTAAAACTTACAAGGGAAATGGCTAGAAATACCAAGGTAAACAAATCTAGTAGGTAATTCAGTGTAATTTCCCACAGTTCTTACTTTGCCAGTAAGACCTATAAATTGTCAGCTATTCTGGGCTTTCTATGATGCTTGGTGGTGACTCTATCTCTGGGTCTCTATAGCGCTGGGACAAAAGGGCAAAAGATTAAAGAAACGAGACAGAGAATATGTTTATTTGTGTACTTGTTTCTCACATAGTAGGAGCTAGGGCAGGACAGCCAGCAGTAGGAACACAGTCAATGAGGACTGTTTGGAAGCTCAGTCTGGACATGAGAAGTTTCCACCAAGCCTAGAGCCAAGTGCTGAAGAAACCAGATCCTAAGAGATCTGTGCCTGGAATGGAAGGACTATATTTTGAAATACCCTGGGTACTTTATAGACCAGCTACGACACACTGCACTCAGATGTTGCCATAGACAATGAAGACAGAAATAGAAACTTATGGAATCTGCCCTTCATATCATCTAATCATAGATCTCTACGCATTCTACAATGCACCTGTGACTTTCAGATCCTGTACAATTTACTTAATCAGAAACTCTTATTAATACTACTGGAAGAAAAGGAGCACCATTGCATCATTCCAACAAGACATTAGAGAGAAGAAGCCAGGGGAGGCTGAAATGGTAGATAGTTTTGTACAATGCAAAGGATAGTAACTTATGACTTTATGATTTTCCATTCCTTGGAATGAGTGAGTCAGATATGTTCAAACTAATGGGTACACACACACACACACACACACACACATACACACACACACACACAGACACACACCACACTTAGACAAACACTTTCACTTGTTCCCAAAATAGCCAGATTCTTTTATTTGATGATTCAATACATTTTAATTCAAATAGACACCACAAAACTTAGGCATAGATTAAGCATTTTACAAGCAATGTATTATGCTGATTTTCTTTGCAATTGCCAAAGAGTACAATAAATGAACTCTTCAAATGATATACTTCTGTACATAAAAATATTCATGTATTAATACAAGTGTATGGAGCAGAGTTTAAAGGTAATAAATCCCTAGCATTTGAAATAAATAGGATATGTCCTTACAGCACAGCATAGCCCAGAACATTGTGCCTGGAAGTGGTTGCGGATTCCAGAAAGTGTGTTTCTCTGAGCTATGCTCCTATTTCCCACAGAAAGGTGTAGGCTAGCAATGACTCCATGTAAGTGTTTACACATACACTGTTTTATTCGTATGTCTAAGAACAGGAGTGGGAATTGATGATAATTCAGTTGTTACCAAAATGTCCCTGTGACCTACCAATTCTCAAAACTTCCCCTTTCCATGTTTTCAAATAAGGATGGCTCTAAGCTCTAGCACCATACAAGAAAGAAATACATGTGTTTTCGTCAGAGCAACAAGATTTTATATCAATCATCTTTGTTCTTCTGGCTATAACAATTTCTGTTTAGAAAAAAATTTATCAAGCTAAAAATAATTGATCTAGGTTGTCATAAAAAAGAATATTAAATACCTTTGGTAAAAATAGAAATATTTAACAAGATTAGAAAAGCCAACAGTTATAATGTCAAAAGGAGAATATAAAAATGTACACAATGAAACACAGAAACCACCTCAGAGGGACAGGAAGGCCAGTCCTCTGTGCAGGTGTTCTTCCTCCAAACCACGACCATACCTCTCTTCTTCCAAATGGCAGAGAAGTTGCCAAGCATGGAAAAAATCCAGTCTTTCCTATAAGCATGGCACATTTAATTCATAGCAACATAGCTGCTCTCTAAAAGCTTTGAGTTTGTAGAATACAGAGCATCTGTCTATATATGCACACATGAGGGAAAAATCCAAGTTCTTCTGCATCGTTCGCCATCAAGTGTGCACTTTTCCTCATTTTCTTGGGCTGATGTCACTTGCCCATATCAAGACAACTAAGCTATAGCATGCTGTCAGTGGAAAAGAAATGCTGTCACTCTGGAGCTTGCTAGCCATCGACATTCATTTCATTTGTTTCTGTGGTCAGAAGACCTCTTCCATTGTTTGGGTTTCCTCTAAAAGGCAGTGCTGTCTGACTGACTCCTCTTGTTGTCTTGGGTCTTTCAGAAGACACATTAAGTCCTGCAGGGAGAAGGCTGTTGAGTGAACAACTGAGATTTTGGATGGAGACAGATTTTTACCATAGCCAGCATCAGCAGCTGAGAGCCCTGTGGCCAACGCTGGTGGGTTTGAGGGTTGCTCGTGGGGGACACAGAATGCCAGTGCGGATGTGTGCCTCTGTGGAGGTTGTAATTACCCTCCTGCGTTTCCTCTACACACACAGTCACATTCTTCATGGTGTTCCAGGGCCACATCAGTGAGCGACTTATGCAATCCCTTGACTCCAATTTTCGGTCTCAACTGAAGGACCTATATGGGAATAAATATGTCACCTTTAAAACATATTGTTTATTGTGTTTGACTACATGGACAAGTAACACTTCAAAGTTAGAAAATAAAAACAAAAACAATACAAAATAAATAAATAAACAACGTGGCCTAAGAAAGACATCGATGTTCTTTCTTGTTGCATAATGGTGTTACATGCACAGTCTTCTGCTCTAGCCCCACCCCCAGTCGTCCACTACTGTCATTTCGTAAAAGAAAGGACACATTAATGCCAGAAGTTTCAAAGCACAATAAGCAGCTCTTAAACTGAAAGACTCACCATGTGCTTACTGTTTACTAAGTGTAATCATACAAAGACAATTTCACCTCAAGGATTTTGGAAGTACCGATGCACAATTTGTTTTTCTGTTGTTTTAGCTTCTTCTTCTCATACACTTATTCTCCCACTGCACAAATATTTACACATGATGGAGTACAATCAACCATGGCTATAGTGTGGAAAGAAACGTGATCATTCTACAGCTGAGCTTGCTCAATTATGCCACTCATTAATTTTCTTGGCTACACTTCAAGTCCTCTATAAACTTGATGAGATGGATTAGATGTAGTCCATAGGCTTCAGCCTCAGCCACAGCTTCGTTTCTGCAGCTGGGTCTTACTGAACAGTGCTAAGAAGGCTCAGCGGTAACAATGAGGCCTCTATTAAATGAACTTATTCACAATTTAGGTTGTTCAGGTTTCAAACAAAAAAAATATAGATGGAAAAATTAACAATGTATCATTACAGTGCTGTGAAAAAAGGATCTAGTTGTGCAATCTACTAGAAGTACCTGAAGAATGGGAGAGTCAATACTTTTTAGGACACAAACTATAAATTCTAGAAATTATGTCATTTGGATTATAAACAAAGCCCAGAGCAAATAATAACATGAAAATGTTCAGTTTCCCTACTTTCTATGTGTAACATAGGAACTCCAAGAAGTGACTGTGAAAATTTCCTATTCCTGTAAATTGTCATTAATCCACAGGGACCCAAATCATATCTTATGACTGTTTGTTTGAAGACTTACAAAAGAAACCTGGGGAATGCATACATAATTTTGGACCACGTGATTCTAGCAGAGCTTAATTAGCCCACATTTTTTGAATACTTACTGGGTACTAGGCACAGTAATAATGTGTTTACATCATTTAACTCACAATAATCTTATGGTGTAATCTGTAGTTATTGCTTTCCTTTACACAGGAGTAAATAGATTTAGACAAATTGAAGAAAATAATTGTTATTTGCACCTAGGCCAAAAATGAGTTATTAAAATCTGAATAATAAATGTCAATTTAATGAAACCTTAATATCATTGATCATCAATTTGTTTAGAAACTTGTTTTATTGAAAGACAGACATCAAAGTCTTACAGGAAGTATGAGAAATGTTGAAGGTCAAAAGGAACATTTTCAGTCCATTACATTTCATAATTTTGGATCAATAGTCAGTGCATTTGTATTCCTTTAATGTAAGATTGACTAATTAGATAATTGTATATTACTTTACATCACCAATGACCGGGTTTTAAATTAGTTGGGGTGTCATGAATTATAAATTATTACTATTATTATAATTATAAATTATTATTTTTGATGATGGTGTTATTCTTTAATAACCTTGCTTCATGTTTCTTTTCTTTTTCTGGAATGAGTTTTTGGTGTTGCTATTGTTGCTTTGTTTTGTTTTTTGGTGAGTCAGAGCATCAGTAGAGCCAGTGTTAGGAGTTCCTACCTCCACCTCTACATGTTTCTCTACTCAGCAGCCAAGAAGTACAGTATAACAGGTGAAGTTCCTCCAAACTATACAGTGGGCTCAGTATGCACCTCTGCCTCCTTCTGCCTAGCTCTCCTAAGATGAGTCTTCTGAACATCTTCAAAAAGAGCAGCAGAGTCTTGCTACAGTAATTTTAAAGATTGGGGTAAGAAACTCTACTAAAGGGGTGAGTATTGTTGTTTCTTTTAAACTCCACTGAAAGTTGTGACATTTAGAAGATGCAACTGGAAATGATAATTTGTCTGCAGATCCTACACAATATTAAGCAGAAATACATGGACATTGGAATGTGTATTAGGACACCAAAAAGAAGGAAAGAAGGAAGGAAGGAAGGAAGGAAGGAAGGAAGGAAGGAAGGAAGGAA